GAGACCAGCTGCCACGCAACTCGTGAATCAACTGGCGGTCCGCACGAATCTCTCCGGCTCTAATCCTCCAGTCCGTACCTCCGGCTTTAGGAAAACGATGTCTGACGGCGGCCGCGGCGGCGGCTGATCGACTAACGTGGGGTGAGAGGTGCTGTTGGGAGCGGGACTTGCGCATGGGTAAGGTAGCGTACAGCTGAGACTCCCTGGTAGTGCGTAAATCACTCCAGCTGGACAGAGTATTAGATCGATATGGCATGGTGGAGGGTTCCATATGTTCCAGGTAAGAGTAATTCAGCGTAGGACTGGGACGTCCTCTCCAACATCGCGCTGTACCCCTGGAGCCGGAGACACAGGGTAAACTGCCTCTGTAGGAGAAGTTTTGTTTTTGCAGAATGGGTGATGTCTGTCCAAAGCGTCTACGACTGTCATATTGGTCAGAACAGTCAACCGTCAAATTGTGACGTTTATGAGAGCTTGGAGTATCAGCTCTGAAGTAGCCAGCTCCTATCTCCGACTTCATCTGTTTTACCTTCGGCCTCACAGGACTTCGAGGCAAACTGAGAGAACTGCTTGAGCGGGATAGCGCCGCGGTACGATAAGGTCTATCTTCAGCCTCCAGCCTCTCTCGACTGAAGTCGCGTCGTCTAGCAGCCGTCCGGAAGCTTGTTCGTGGTTCATAATCCGCATCAGTGCCAAAAACAGCCACCGGTTCGGCTTCTGATCGTGGCAAGAAATACCGCACTGATGTACCGTTTGCATACGTGTTGGTCTCCACACGTTTGTAGACATCTCCTGCTTTGAAGTAGACGCCGTCAGGCCACAAAGTGTCGTTGGCAGCTCGATTGATACTGCGAGGACTGAGATATCTGCCATTTTCGCCAGGCAGCCTCCGTTGGGTAGGGGACGGGTTGTATCGCCTACCTACCCTCTCCCCCTTCAACTCCTCATCCGAACGTCTGAAGAGACGACTTGGACGAATGGCCACTGGCCGTGGATTATCGTCCGTTTGGGTGCCTGCAACGCGTCGAGCAAAGGGAGGAGAACGTGGGTTTTCACTTTGAACTGGTTTGGCTGCACCAGTTCTGACCATCGTCCGCGCCCTGTTCTGTTCCTCCTCTTGGTCCTCAACACAGTTGTTCTTGC